AGCCAATGCTTAAACACATTTTTAATATCAAAAGTAGTTTTGCAGAAAATGGTTGTGAACTTAAGCAATAAGACATTCTATTGACAAGAAATCACAAGCAAATGATTCTAGATGAAGAATTTTGGCTCAAAACAAAAAAGCTTCGTGATTTTCTCAATCCCATAGCAACGTGGATTACATTCCTGGAAGGTGATTACAGCTCAGTACACAAAGTACACGAATGTTTCATAGAAATTAACGCAAATCTGGATTCGAATGAAGCCAATGATATTTTAGGTAGCACTGTATTAAACAACCTACGAAAAAAATCAAGGACCGAAGAGAGACCGCTTTAAAACCCATTCATTACGCTGCTTGTATTTTAGATCCTTTGCATAAGGGCAAAGCATTAAACCAGCAGCGAAAATATTGACTGTAATAGTGGCTGTGAAGTTATAATGAAGCTAGCTGAACTTATTGATACTGATACGAGTAGTGACGTCTTCTTGGAACTCTCACAGTACAAAAATCAGGAAGGCCTATGGAATAAGCAATTTATTAATGATATGGCGACGAAATTGGAACCGGCTGCCTGATGGAATAATTTCTTTGGGCAAACAAAATTGGGCCAGATCGCCAACAAAATTTTGACCGTACCATCATTTATATTTTGATTCTTAAGTTTTTTAATCCCAGTAATTTTCATAATTAAGAACCAATCTGTGATTTTGTTATTTGTTCTTGAGGTACCTATAATTATAATTGTTGATTTTTGAGCACCGAATAATCTTACTATAATATATGTTGATTATTTTGTAAATTGTTATTTTTGATTATATTTTAAAACTTTATTGGTCTACAAAGTGCGACAAGCTTCTTACATACCTATTGTATAGCATTTTTTTTTATTTCAATTATTTAATACAAATAATAAAAATATAAAATACAAAGTCTTAAATCACCTTTGTTATGCATTATTTTGGTTCCCACATTAAAATTATCTATAAAATAATGAAGATGTTCTGAAAAATTTCCAAAAAATTTCTGAAATATTTCGTGGAAAGCTTCTACGAAATATAAGGAAATTTAAGAAATTTTGCAGTATTTTCACGAAAATGGATTTCTGTGGTATTAATAAGAATTAAAATGTGTCATTCAACTTAACTTCAAAATATTTCTTCATATGAAAAAAAAAAACGTTTTTGCACCAAAGTATTCAACTTTTTAAGTAAATTTGGCATTTGCGAAACATTCTCGCAATGTTTCCGAGAATATTTCCATTTTCGGAAATATTCTCGGAAATTTACCAACCCTAACTGTGATACTATTGTTTAAACATATGAATTTCAATAGGATTTTCCTTTTTATTGGTACCAAACGACGCAAAATTACTCGAAATTTAAGGTTATAGTGTTAAAAAATGTCGATAAAATTTGAATATTTAATTTAGCACTATAACGCCGGAGTAGATGATTGAAATTCAATCATTTGCCGTAGTTGAAACGCTTATATCCATGACATCTATATTGATGTAGTGACTTGATTTTATGTTAACCAAGGTTGGCTTACTTACATGTATAACAACATACGATTTTTTTCAGGTATCCTGTACATGATAAGTTGAACGAATTATGGGTAAAAGCCATTAACAGACAGGATTGGTAACCTTCAAAGCACTCCAAGATTTGCTCTATACATTTTGCACCTGAATGTTATGTCGGAGATAAACAAAGAAAAATACTGCATAGAGATGCTGTACCAACCATGTTCATAAGCAATACAGCACATTTACAAACGGTACGTATTATGAATTTTTTTGTGTACTGTAGTCTAGGCTCTACTCTATGAGTAGAAGTACTGGCTGAATGAATATAGATTTGTGTTTAGAATGTATTTAAAAAAATAGGACAGAAAAAAGAAGAACATCTTGGCAGATCTAGAAGTCGCCTCCATAAGTGAATATGTGAAAAACACAATAAATATCTAGTTATGAAGGTAGTCCCAGTTTGTATTTATAAAGTACCTCTCGCTACGCGACCTGAGCTATGTCGTATGCTACAAATGGTGGAGGCAAGCCTATAAATGGTAGAAGCGAGTCTAGTCTACAAATGGTGAAAAATTCCAATTAAGAAAATTCCAATTGTGAAAAAATTTTATATGAATTTATGAAAATTCCCTGAAGAAAGGAGGAACAAGCATATAAGGTCATAATATATATTTTTACTTGTTATTGTGAATTTGTATATGTGTTTTTGTGCGCTTCGTAGTGAATAGGGGCAAAGTTAAAAAATGTATACAATGATATTTATAAACATTGATATATATACATTTCATTGTTTTTTCTCCTGGCCACATTTCTTGACTGTCACATTGTCAGTACGTGTTACGTCAAATCTTCGAAGTCAACTCGTTAATTACTTCTTTTGCGAATTATAAGTGTTTTATCCTCCTCAGACCAAATGTCCCCATATGGGGACATACAACGTCATTTGGTAAATGCGCGGCAATAAGCTGCACTAACTCGTTAATGTTGATATGTTAGTGATTTATTCGTTCTACGATAGATTGCGCTACCGCTCATTTCGATTTTTATTCATTCGGTGCCGCCATATTTTTTTGTAGGTGTTTGAAAAATGAGCACGCGAAATAAATTCAATTTTGGCGTACCTGCTGACGGTGAGTACTACATTTGTATGTTATTTCAATTTTTTCATAAAAACTAATATATGTGTCATGTTTTTGAACAGTTTTACTATGTTTTTGAATCAAAAAAGTTTTCGCTCGAGTTGTATCTTGCCCAACACACACATTTGAACGTGTTTGTCTCCTTTTGGGGACTATGGGTTTCTGTCTTCCAAAAATGTAGAATTATTCCATATATTTTCGTAATATATTTTTTGACTACTATTCTGTATTTCAACCTTACTTTCATGTATTTATTAGTACATTTCGCGTGTTTAATAAATATAAACGTAATATTTTTCAGAATCAGCCTTAGCAGATGCCTTACATGAAATCATCAACGGCGATGACTCTGATTTGGAAATAGACATTGGAGATGAAGATGTTGCAGAAGATCCACCGTACGTTCCTACAGGTGATGGCGACGAGGATGAGAGTTCAGAAAATGGTTCAGAAGAGGAAGACGTGCAAGGAAATGATGTGGTTCTAGGATCAAACAGCTGCCAGTCTTCGCAGGTTCAGCCTCCATTGGTTGGTAACATTTCCCAACGACGTGTATATTGGAAAAGTACAAATGTCTTTGAACCATTGCCACCAGCCCCAAACTTCAAAGAGCCAGAGAGAGTGGTAATAAATTTGCCACCGCATGATTATTTTACAAAGTACATACCTAGCGATATTTACGAGCGAATTGCATTCCATAGTAACCAGACTTATCTTGCTAAAACAGGAACCAGTTTGAATACTTCTGAAAAGGAAATCAGAACTTTTTTTGGAATAACTCTCATGATGTCTTATCTTCGATTCCCCAGGATCAGAATGTATTGGGAGAAGAAAAGTAGAATATTTGCTATTGCAGATAGGATGGCTAGAGACAGATATTTCAAGCTAAGGGCATCTTTGAAGGTGTTAACTGATGCTGATGTTCCAGATTCAGAAAAACAAAAGACCAAGTTCTGGAAGGTCCTACCTCTAATATCTTGTATCCGAAACGGCTGTTTGATGAATGTTCCAACATCAAATGTCTGTGTCGATGAACAGATGATTCCTTTTTGGGGGAAACATGCAGCGAGACAAATGATAAGAAGCAAACCCAATCCAGTTGGGCTGAAAAACTTTGTTTTGGCATGTCCCAATGGCTTGCCCCTGGATTTTTTTATTTATGAAGGCAAAGGAGATACAATCTTAGATGACGATAGAGTTCAGGCACTGGACATTGGTGGCAAAGTGGTTTTCCGTCTTTGTAATCGACTGCCTCCAGGTTGCTGCATATTCATGGACAGGTATTTTACCTCAATCAATTTGTTGGAGATGTTACATTTCGTATCCGAGTCCACAGGTACTGGAACCCTACAAAAGAACAGGATACCATCGAACTGTAATTTCAAAACTGATGCCCAGCTTCGTCGCCAAGGCCGAGGAAGCTACTGTCAGCAAGTTCTATCGACAGGACAAGTAGCAGCGGTCAAGTGGTTTGACAACAAGCCAGTACATCTAGCTTCATCGGTTCATGGCGCTGAGCCAACAGATGAATGTCGCCGATGGGATAAGAATCATAAAAGGTACATCAATGTCCCACGTCCAGCTGTTGTAAAAGAATACAACGAGAATATGGGAGGCGTAGACTACTTAGATCGTATGATCAGTTATTACCGAATATCTGCCAGAACAAGGAAATGGACTGTTAGACTAATATTCCATTTGTTTGACTTTGCAATTGTGGCTGCATGGATTGAGTACAAATTAGATCATGAAAAGTCGTAATATTCTAGATTGTTTGGGTTTCCGTGAGCAAATAGCTGAGTATTTACTCGAAAATGACGCCGAAAATGAAGAAGATCCACCTCTTAATGACGCCACTACCATTGCAAGACAAAGCAAGCGAGCTAGGACAGAGCATCCCACTGATTTTGTCAGGACTAAAGGGGTAGATCACCTGCCTCTTGTTCTTGGTTCCCAAAACCGATGCAGATTACCAGGATGCAAGTCCACTAAGGCCAGGCATCAATGCCCCACTTGCAAAGTGATACTATGCTTGATGGCTGGAAGAAACTGTTACAAAGACTATCACGAAAAATAGTGGTAACATGATTCGAAAAATAGATTTAATTTTTGCTCTGAAAACTTAATAAACACAACTTCCTATTACATAGAGTTTAATTTACTTTTCGACACACTGAGACCCAGTGTCCCCTATTGGATACATAATGGAAAACCATTTTCCGGAAAAATTTTGTATTCCTAATAGTCTAACCTTTCTAAAAATATATGCCATGTCCATATTTACTTCCATTTCCAAAGTATTTTCACTAAATATGGCCTGGGACTGAGGAGGTTATGTGATTTAAAAGTGACCGAAAATGAGTAAAACCATACGAAGTGCTACTAGAGAAGTAATTTTTAAAGTTTACACACGATGTCTTGCGGAAAGCGAAGCTCAAACACTTCTTACCCGCTGGACAAAGTTTATCAAAGAACCGCCGATATGACAGGTTTGTACTGGTTTAATATAATTTTTTGAGTGCAATAATTTGTTGTAGAATACCTTACGTTGTTATAAAGACTAAATTTACAGTATTTTAGTACTTGATTTGTCGTAAAAATTGAAACCTTTTAAGGTTATATTTACAAAATGCATTTATAGCGCGCCCAAACTAATTTGACATTTTCAATGTCGCACATAATATTATTCATATTTTTATTGGTATACATAAAATTTTGCCATCTTATATTTTAACATTTAAAATAACAGTTTTATTAACTTGCACTGTGTGTAATTTTCAGGTAAATCCGTGAGTACAGTAAGGCGAATCGTAGAAGAAGGGCATCGCAATAATGCTGTATTTTCTACACCAGGAAAGCATCGAAAAGGTCGTCCAAGAAAAGATTTGGACGATTTCGACTTGTGCTATTAGACAAAAAATTCAATTCTTTTACACCGTAAAAAAACAGGTGTGTAATATGTATTTAAGTTTTAACGTAATTTTTTCGGTTCTCAACATTAAATTTAGTAATATATGGTTTTAATTTCAGGTGCCAACTTAAGAACTTACTACCAGTGGTCAGGGAAAATTTGGGTTTTCAATGAGGCCGTAAACATCTGCGGAAGAGCCTAATTTCTTTGGGTTTTAAATATAAAAAGTGTCAATCAGAGCGCACAGCCTTAATGGAAAAACCATATATTGCAGCTAAAAGAGAAAAATACCTTAAAATCATAATGGATAACAGACGTTTGCCAGAGGAATTGCAAAAAGAAATTGTATACTTGGACGAGAGTTACATTCATCAGTCCTATAAATTAAAAAAATGCTGGCAATCCATTAATGTCACGGGTGTTAGAGAAAAAGTATCCAAGGGCAAAAGATACATTATTGTTCATGCTGGTAGCAGCAAAGGCTTTGTCCCAAATGCACTGTTAATATTTAGTGAGAAAAATAAAAATGAAGATTATCACTCGGAGATGAACAACAGAAATTTTAAAAAGTGGGTGGAAAAGAAGTTAATCCCCAATTTACCGAACTCATCGATAGTGGTAATGGATAATGCTCCATACCACTCTGTGGCTATTAACAAAGCACCCACGTCCACCACAAAGTTGGCGGATATAAAATCATGGTTGAACGGTAATGGAATCAGTTTCGATAGCACATTGAAAAAACCTCAATTGCTTATGCTTGTCAAGCGCCACAAGCCAGAACCCAAATACGAGATCGATGAGCTTTTAGGTTCACATGGGCACACAGTGGTTAGACTACCCCCTTACCATTGCGACTTGAACCCTACCGAACTGATTTGGGATATCGTAAAAAATAAAATTGCCTCACGTATGTTGGTACGACTGACATAAAGGTACATATAGTATTACATACATTTTTTTTTTGCTACAAATGTAGACAACATACAAGTCGTCATCATCATGATTTTCTGTTTGAATTTTAGGAAACAGCTAAACAAGCATTCGAAGAAATTTCCAATGATGATTGGAAGAAATCATGCGAACATGTGGAAATTATTGAACTTGAATATTATCAACGAAGCCAAACTCTATATGAAGATATGGAAAAAAAATATAATTAATGTTCAGGATGACAGCAGCAGTGAATCATCAGATGTTAACAGTACAATCAATGTGCAAGATGACAGCAGCGTTGAACCATCTGATGTAGAGTTTTCAGATGTTGAATTTTTAGACGAAGAATTTTTAAATTAGACTTTCTTTAAAAATTAATGCATTTTATTTATTATTCCTGCATGATGATAATATAAATATAATAATTCGTTCATTATCATCATTATATTTGTTCATTATTAGCTTCCGCTGTACTCAGTTGAGTACTGCTGCTTTTTATATTTTATTAAAAGAACTTTCAACTTCTGCGAGTTTGTTGTGTGTGATTATAAAAAGTAAGTATTATTTCATATACAAATATATATTATATACAAATATATATTCTTTGGGGGAGGCCTATGTTCAGCAGACCATGTCTTCTGGCTGATATGATGATGGTTTGATATACAATATGAAAAAAAATTGAGGTTTGAGATTTTTTATTTTCTTTCTAAGTAAAGTTAGTTTAGACATAATCCACCTTAGACATGAAATAGAGTATTAATTTAGAACTGATTTATTTGCTGTGACCGAAATATTACGATATTTTTGTCACTGTAGTCAATCAGGTACAATGGTCACATACATACTTTCTTTTATATGTATACTGCATATTATACTACGTATATCCGGGCACTAAGTATCAAAATTGTTGCGATGTACTATACCGGGTTACTGTAGTAGCGACAGTGGTGCCCCTATTAATTTCTAGATTTTTTGGTCTGGCTGTATAAATTTATATATTGATAGAATAAGTGATAAATACACACGTGAAAGAGATTGTAAAAAGACCGACGAACCTGAGACAAAAGCTCTGATTGGCCTACTAGTTTTGTCTGGTTTGTGTAAGTCAAGTCATAGAAAATTGCAAGACTTATGGGATGAGTCTAGACTGGGCATTGCCATTTTTCACAAAACAATGAGCTATAATAGATTTTCATTCCTACTCAAATGTTTGCAATTCGATGATATAAACACACGTGAGACGAGAAAAGCAACCGACAGATTTGCGCCAATCGGGAATATTTTTATGCTATTCAACAATCATTTGCCTTGCCAACTATGGTCTCAACGAGAATTTCACAATTGACGAGACAACTTTTAAAATTTAGAGGACGCTGTATTTTTCGACAATACATTCCCAGTAAACCAGGTCGATATGGAATAAAAAAATTTGCATTGTGCGATTCGCAAACATTTTATACTTATCAAAGTGAGCCATATCTTGGTAAACAACCAGAAGGGCCATACAAGGTCAGCTATAAGCCAAAAGACATAGTTATGCGATTATGTACACCTATTTTGGGTTCTGGTAGGAATCTGACATGCGATAATTGGTACAGTAGCCTGCCTTTAGCCGAAGAATTATTAAAAAATAAAATAACAATGGTGGGAACTTTGCGAAAAAATAAAAAAGAAATACCCACTACTATCATTGATAATCGAACGGTTGGCACTTCAATTTTCGGATTTCATTATAAGTTACATTGACTCTGGTGTCATATTGCCCTAAAAAGAAAAAAAGTAGTATTACTAATATCTATAATGCACGATAATAATGACAACATTGTCACAACTGCCACAAATGAACAAAAACCAGAAATCGTTTTATACTATTACGAGACAAAAGGTGGTGTGGATACGAATGACCAAATGTGTGGCAACTACAGTATTTCAAGAATATGTCCACCCTGGCCATTAAGATATTTTTTTCATATTTTAGATACTTCTAGTATCAATGCTTACATTATTTATAATTGTAACAACCCGCAGTTGAAACCAAAGATGAAAAGGTCTGAATACTTAGAAAAGGTCGGTTTGAGTCTGGTTCAAGGTCACATTGAGAGAAGATCCACTCAACCATCGTTACCTAGAGGACTTAAAAGGATGCTGAATGTTCCTGGGCCAAGTTCGGAAGGGGTGTCAACAAAAAAGAAGCGATGCATGATGCCCACGTGCTAAAGACATTAAAACAATAAGTTGCAAACTGCAATTTTTGCAAACAAACAATGTGCCACAAACACATGAAGTTTATTTAGAATAGAATAGAATAGAATAGAATACATTTATTACATAACACCACAACACAATAATAAACAGTAAAAAATAAAAAGTAAAAAAAAATAAAAATAAAACAGAACTAAATTAAAACTAAAACAAACTAAATTAAAACAAACAGAAAATGAATAACAAAAAAGAAAACTAAATAAAATTAATTAAAAATAAAATCTTAGCAATATATAATTATGCGACCACAAAGCTGGTCAACACTAATGTTGTACTAAGTAGATGTCATGTGTGCGACTGTGGCGTATGTAATAGGATCCACTCAGCCAATGTCACCGCCGCATAAGGACAAGGTTGTGACGCTGATTTTCAGTGGACCCTAAAACCGAGTGAGTACCGGACGTGTGTGTCGCGTTTAAACTAATTTGTTTGTTGTAATTTGATTGTTTTGTGTAGTGTGATGGTACAGGTCATAGGGGTAACCCCATTATTGAAAAAAAATCCTATCTATTTAGAGTAAATAAATAGATTTTTGTACCTCTGTTGTCATGAGAATAATAGAGGCGGTAACCTAATGGCTATGGTACCAGACTTACATTCGAAAGGTTATGGGTTCGAACCCTACTTTTGCACTACCGATATTGGCAAGAACATTGTCATATACCGTACCTGGAGTGGTTAACAAGATTGCTAGTATTGTGTTACCCATAATGCTAGCTATCATCTGATAGACGTCATCCTCCTTTGACTGTCAGGTTAAAATAAATTTCAGTATATTCCCATTATAAACTTTTGTTTCAGAAATTACGGACGCGGAAGACAAGAGAAATAAATTCCAGAATTAATATGCTGGAGAAAGAACTTGAAAGGGTAAAAAAGGTATCCAAACGTCGCCTTCGGAAGATAAATACTCTAAATAAACGGCTATCGCGACAAGGAAAAAGGAATGAAGATATTTACAGTATTTTAATAGAAAAATTAAAACGAAAAAATATTGAAATAGAATATATTACTATGCTGGACAAGATAAATGAAAATGACATAATTAAAAGGTTTTTACAAAAACAAGTAGGCGAGCCTTTGCCTAGGGAGTACACTCGAGAAACCAAGAAATTTGCTGTAACCTTAAATTATCTTTCACCTAAAGCATATGCATTTATTCGGGATCAGTTTCAAGGTACCCTACGGCACCCTAAAACAATTTCTAGTTGGTATAAATTCCTTGATTGCAGTCCTGGTTTTACTACGGAATCTTTTAATGCAATTCATTCCAGAGTAGTGTAGTACCCAAATAAAACGTTATTTTGTGTTTTAGCAATTGATGAAATGGCCATTAGGAAAATGGTTGGATGGGATAGTTATAATTACAGATACCATGGGAATGTGAACATTGGTTGTAACTTAGATTCCGATTCAGTGCCCCTAGCAACACAAGCTTTAACATTTATGGTTACTTGCCTGAATGACACGTGGAAAATCCCCGTGGGATACTTTATGATCAAATCTATTTCGGCTCAACAAAAATCAATGATTGTACAACAATGCATTCAACTTTTACAGGAATGTGGTGTGAAAGTTGTGTCAGACATTCGATGGAGCGGCAACGAATATTGCAAAGTGCACTTATTTAGGATCTGACATATCCTCAGGTTCTTTTTCGTTTCAATGTGCTGATTCAAATATATACTTATGGCCAGACCCTTGCCATAACATAAAATTAGTACGTAATACAATTGGTGAAAAAAAGAATAATTATTGATGCAGATAACCAAGTAATATCTTGGCAACACATTGAGCGGCTTTTAGAACTCCAAAAAATGAGGGCCTTCATCTAGGTAATAAATTAAAAAAAGATCACGTTTATTACGTTAGACAAAAAATGAAAGTACGTCTCGCAACCCAGTTATTCAGCAACTCGGTCGCAGATGCTTTACAGTATTGTCCTATATAATTGTATTCCCGGCTTTGAAGACTGCAGGGGAACAATTCAATTTTTGAGAATTTTTAATAATCTCTTCGACATATTCAACAGTAGAAACATGCGTGCTAAAGGGTGGAAAAAAGCACTTCTTTCTTCACAACTTCTTTTAATATTGTTGAAACCCAGATCTTCTTTGAGGCTGCTACTTCTTATATTCAAAATTTAAAACTGATGGATGGCACTTACGTTGTAAACTCTAATCGAAAAACGGCTTTCAATGGCTTTTTAGTGTGCATAAAATCCTTATTGAAAATATATTATGATATCGTAGAAAACGATTCATTACAATACTTGTGTACATACAAGATGTCACAAGACCATTTGGAATTATTCTTTGGTGCCATTAGGTCAAGGAGCGGATACAATAATAATCCATCTGCCCGTATGTTCCAAGCAGCTTACAAAAAACTTTTAGTGCACGCTCAGTTTAAAGACAGATGAAATGGAAATTGCGTTCCACTTGAAAAAATTACAGTATTGAATTGTAGCGCTACAAAATGTGTAGAATCAATAAACAAAAGCAGTGGAAACGTACGCATTATGAGTGATGAAATAGTTGAGCCAACATGTAGTATTTTGAGTGTCATCAACTTAGACCATGATTATTTGTTATCATCTCAACTTTCTGAATATTCGGAAGATGTGGTTTACTACATTGCAGGTTATGTAGTCAGAAAGCTGGGAAAGGTTTTAAAGTGTGAATCATGCCTAGAAAGTTTGTATGGAGATATAGAGACCCGAAAGTCACTTTTAACTATAAAAGATAGAGGAGGTTTGGTCTAATACTAAAGAAGGTAATCAGACCCACGAAAAGATACGAAGTTTTCTAACCAGGACAATTTTATTTAAAGGGCAGTAATTAAAAATGCATGATTTGATTTTGTTTGGTATAAAACATATGTAAATTTTTCTTTTAATAAATCATACAAAATTAGTTGCTTTATTTATAACATTTTCCGGTGTTTATTTTATCCTGTTATATATTTTTTTCTATTAACCTGTTATGCGTCCTAGAAACACACCATGTCCTTAACGTTTTTGGTACTGTAGCATCCTAGAGGTAGGTAAAATGATTATAAGATATAATATCCGATTCCTAACCCTACCTTAGGGA